TGTGACTTTTAACTATTCCTTAATTTACTTAAGTATAGTTTTGTCGAGTAGTTACTCGTAAATACTGTTCGATCGATACAGATCGATTTTATTTACACGAAAAACAATAGTTTTGTTCGGATACAAAACTATTGTTTCCTCTTGTGATTTGAACCCAGGACTTTTAACGCTTCACACAACTAGGCAATGCAAACATTAAGTCAAGGAGCAGGTTCGTAGAATTATTGCAAGTACACATTAAATTAAGTCAAATTTATATTTAAATTAAAACTCGATCTGTCGCTTTACATATAACTAAATTTAATCATGAAATAGTAAACACATGTCTTTTTTACCTAGGTAATTATTAATTACTCAAGCGATGTTGCAGGCACGGCATCGTTAGTATGCCAGTAGGTAAGTGGCAACACAATAAATCACTAAGACATATTTTATTCCCTCTCTAAATGAATACTTACTAACTGTAGGCAAAGTTTCGTGCCGATGAATCTATAATTGGCGTGACGCTGTAAAAGACGCGCCTATACAGTGACTAATTCGAAATATTAAATTGTTCGAAACATCGTTTTCTACTTAAACATGGAATACCGTTTCCCACTCTGCTGGATTTTAAGGCTAAACTACTGCTAAAGCCAGAGTGGCCTAATAACAAAAACCATGATAAGGAGGAAAATAAAAATGCGCTTTGAACTTAGGCGAAAATGAATTTTGAACTGTTGTTTGCATAAGAATTGTGTCAACAATCTTCGGTCACTTGTATATCAACATGTTTAGACTATAAAAATATAAATAAATCAAAGTAATAATTGCAGTTAGGCTACTCTGGCTGAAGTAGCCTCAAATGTGTTTAATCATACCACCCGAAACAATCTGCAATTCGCCATTAAATATTTTTTGTATGATAAAGTAGGACAGTTACACTTAATGGTAGGTGTAATATATGTGGATAGTGGTTCGTAAGCCGGACGGAATTTCGACATTCCAACCACCCATTTAATAAACCTACGAAGTCAGACGTGTTAAAATTACCCCAAAAAAAATCCCAGTGGTGATCGAATCCACGACCCTTTGATTATTAGCTACCAATACATCAACGAGTTTGTAACCGCTAAGCTACGATGACGGTAAGAATATTCTTAGTACATGCGTTGAACTCTATAATGAAGTAGCCGTAGTTTATAGAAAAAACGAAAGTTAAATGTAGTACAATTTATTTATAAAATAATATATCGTACACTTGAGAAATAAATCGACACTGACCTCACTCTATGTACAAGTTAGCTCACGTTGTGCTAAAAATATATCATATTACATAGAAAAATAACATATATTTTAAAAATCTATACAACTTACACACTACGCGCTCGAGACTATAAAAGAGTAAGTGTCATTATTATGCTTTGACAACACAATAGGCAATGTACTATTAAGTTATTCTAATCGGGAATTCCAAACATATTTAATACAATAACATAATAATGTATGTTACAAATTTTAGTGTTTAGACAGTTTTATAATATTATCAGTACGGATAAATCTGGTTCCTTAATAAAGACATTAACTATAAATGATAATATTTTTTATTTTCTATGAGTTCTGTAGAATTATGAATATTTAGAAGTCTCAAATGTGAATTTTTTTCAATACAGTAGTATTTAAATGAATCAGCCACGTACAAATTAGATATACATCATGTCCTTATTTGGCGCTTCTATTATAAGGAGGGAGGTTACAACTAAATGTAGAATATAAAGTCTTAAAAACGAGTAAGACGAAGGAACTAAATCCATCAAATCTCAAGTAAGTTGTAATTCAAGTCCAATCACCTGAACATTAATTTAATGTATATTACAGTTTATATCCCGTTCCGTTATGTGTGTACGAAGCTTTAGAGATAAAGTACATTCGAAACAAAAAGTGGATTCCAATAATTTGTTACAAAAGTTCTCGGTTACTGAACTATATTTAATTTGATAATCTATAAAGGAATATACAAAATCTATTAATTACTTGTATTCATAATCTATTAAATTGTTATGTAGACAACAGTTTTTACCAAGTAAATACAAAACTTATTAATATGGACCAAGTTAATACCAGTTAAATCTAAAATAATTGTGCTTACTGCCTTAATCGAGATAATAATGTAATTGTGATAAGTACACTGTAAAAAAGGCACTCAATAGCGATTGAGCAAGCTTAGCGAAAATATTTCTTACACGTTATGGGATTTAGTGGGGTATATCGATATCGTTGGAGGAGGGTGGGGGAAGCCAGACTAATGTTATGTTTAATAAAGTTGCTTCAAACGTAAATTTATCCCTCCTATTTCCACATAATCAATATGTTACAAATTTCTCATGATAATAATGGAAAAGGGAGGCAAGCCCCCCCCCCCCCACACACACAAGTCTTACCACCACAATCTGATACACGCCACTGATAAACATATAAAAGATTAAAACTGTTTTGAACGTATGTTAAAAAGACGTAATTTACAATTTATCAAAGCAATTAACTAAAATCCTTTTAGGACATAAATTCGAACTACATTTCCGAAACAAATTCAACAGCCAATTTTATGTGACTAGTTCTAGTACTAGACAGATATGGCTAACAAGCAAGCCGTTAGATAAATTGATTCTATACATTGATTGAGTATAACACTAGCGTCTATTAAAGTGTATGACATGTTTTTTGGCAAGAACATTAATCTAGAGAGACGAGGCGCCGTTACTTGTATGCAAACTGGGTGCGCCAGTACTTTTTATGAAGCCACGAAAACAAACGGAGCGTAATTTGATCACCGCGTTGTGTGCACAAAAACATATTCGACACAATAAAGTATATTTAACTGTAAAAAATTACGGTTCTAGGTAAATAAGTGACCCGGTGAAATATCATTTAGGCGAACGTTGGATGCGCAGTGACAATACAAAAATATCTAACAAATATTTACTCAAATGAAACTTGAGAAATTTGCGAATATAGTTTTGAGGCGTTTGAGTAAAAAAGGGGATCCTATAACTAAGATTAGCTGTCTGTTTGTCACCAGATTGTTGTTGTTTAGAACTTTAGGGAAATTTTTTAGAAGCGTTTCCATGCGTATACGTCTATTTATTATTAATACATGTAACAGTAAGTGACAGATACTAGAAAAGTAGTAGATTTTGAAGGTAGTCTACCAAATTTATGGAACGGAACCCTTCATGGGCGCAACTCGTGCCTATTCGGTTATAGCGAAAACTGTACGATTTTACTTGTTGTAAATGTGTGTGTGGCGCCATAGTTTTTTACCGAATCGTCGCACAATCAGGTGAGTAATTAAGCAGTCTATAACGCGTAATTATATGTGGAAATAGTTCTTGTACGAGGTTGTTGACCTAGCTTAAAATAAGCGCGCTGTCAAAACAAATGCTAAGGGATTACAGATATAAGTCCGCGGTCATATTAGCGACTGGTTTAGATATTTTTATTACATAACGCCCAAAACATTTCAGCCAGGAAGAAACGAAATGATAAATGTATATGTGTGGACACAGCCTTACTTTTGTCACAGTTAATAAAGAGTAGCCACCTAATTTGTCGTTAATAAGGATAATTTATAAAATTCTAATCGACGCATTACCGATAACGTTGTAATAAAATTAGCTTTATATTCTAAATTCCAAGGAATTTACATATGTTTGTTGAGAGAACATAAATTACTCGAGTCATTAAACTAAAGGTAGTTAAAAGCTCACTAAGCTTTATAATGATAAATATATAAACACACACATATTTATAATAGTAGCTAAATTTCTGGTTTTATAACGTGAAAATACAAGCATGAACGGAAAGAAATCAAATTTTGACAGCTGAAGTGGACAGTAAGGAAAGGGTTCGAGAAGCAATGGGGATATTTTGAAGGCGTGACGATTAGGTAGCTATTCTTTTATGAACTGTGACAGAGTTGTTATCAGACAATAGCGCTGGTAATAGACAATTTATTGATAGCGAGAATCGTCCGCTAGTGGTCGCATTGTGTGCTAATGAGCGCTCGGAAGCACATACGCCCTTCGATCCCGCCCCGGTAAGGAAAACTAATATGAAGTAGCGATGACAACGCGCCAGTTATTAGTTACCGTGCACGCCAAAGGAATTGGACAACGCTCTTGGACTTTATTTGTATTAATTAATATTTCATAACCGCTCCTTTCTGGGCGTGCGCTTGCGCCGGTTTTAATGAGTCATGAGGTGATACTAAATCAAAGTGAACAACGTTTAGCATTTAGTGTACCAAGAACTCGTTTATTAATCAGGATGGTTACGGATTAACTCTAAAATATATATATTGAAATTATGACACAGGTAGAAGTACAACCCGCGGCTGTAGGTGTACCGCGTCTTAACAACTACGTCATAAACGTTAGTTTTAAGACGTAAAAGCTCCTTAAAACATAACAACAAACAATCTTTCATAAAGAACAAAACATCGATAGAATACAATATATACCTTAAAGAAACATAAAGTGTATAGGAATGAAATTAATTCGGAAGACAAGCTCAAATGAAACGAACAATACGCGTAGCGCGATCAAGTATAAAAAGTAAAAACACTTGACTTTAGCTGTGGTCGGATATAAACGCAGTAGCTTGCAGGTTGCAGTTTACCTAAGACAATCCACTGAACAATAATCTACCAAGAATCTTGACGCCAGGTTTCGCTATACGCGATCTATCGCGTTTATAAGAGACCCCAGCTTTAAACATAGCACCCTCCAATAACTTCAACATCGTCCAATTAGTATTTACAATGTGAAGATACATAAAAACGTTTTGTAATTTTTTTATTCGCATCGATCAATATCAGTTAAATAAAACATGTTCAGCGTTGTATTGTAAAAAAGCGCAGGGGCTGGATTCTTATGGACGCGAGGTGAGAAGTTATTTGATTTATTTCTCGCATAAGAAACACTTTTGTAAAATAAATATACATAGAGTATATATTATACACGTATTCATATTGTTCGATTTAATTTTCCGTTTCCAGCTGTATTCCTCACTAAGTAAGCTTGAGAAAGATGTCGGTGGTGATGCCGCGAAGGAAATCCAACACCTCGCCGCCCTCTGCTGGAGATTGTAGTGTTGAACTCTGAAAAAAAAATGTTAGTCATATTAAAAAAAAAACATTTTAGAAATAAATAATGACCAAAGCTCGAAGGCATCAGAAATGTGTGTAAGTTGCATGGATTTATTGCGCAATTAAAATAAAACCAATATAATCATGTGCTGTCTGTAATTTACTCGAGTAGTAACAGTACTAGTATTAATTAAACTTGAACATTATTTTTAACGTTGGGCCGTAGTTATAAATAAAATAAGATACTTTTCTGTTTATTTCGCTGTAAATTTGATGTCGGAGAGTTCAGAATTCTTCTTCGGTGTCAAGACATGGAATAAATTTAAATTTCGAAATTCGATATAAGGCTCTAAAAAAAGAGCCTGTCATGTCAAACGTACTATTTAAAGAAAATGGTAATAAAAGCACTGGAAGCGGGCGAAACTTCTTTCTCGCTATAGAATTGTGGACAATTCGAAAAGTGCTGGATGAATATGTAAAAAGTTCGATGGAAACACATTATGTAAATTGTAGTTTAAGTGGTTTATAATTTCGGAGAGAACTGTTACCGTTTTCATAATATAAAAGCACTTTGGCCACGAATAAATTATATGAGCGTTATTGGTCCATTCCAAACTGTTATATCACATAACGTTATCCAAAGAGTTATCTATCGCGAGGAATGCGAATCCATTTCGCGAAATGTTTAAGTGTAAATGTCATTTCGACAAAACTAACATTGTGACTATTGTGGATTGTGGAGCGGAGAACACGTTGAAATAGATACGTTTATTGTGGAGTAACCGTTATTAACACTTCTCATATATTTGTATATCATAGCACTATTTCAAATCGATTCGAATACTCGATTTATATCATTCGTTAGTGAATTGCCGACGCTATATCGATGTTACGTACATGGAATTGCGGCTAACTATCGATACTAATATTATAAAGCTGAAGAGTTTGTTTGTTTGTTTAAACGCGTTCATCTCGGGAAATACGGGATCAAGTTGAAAACATATTTTTGCGTTGGTTGGACCATTTATCGAGGAATACTCGATAACATCAGGCTAAATAAATAGAGGCAAAAAACAGAGAGAAATGTGGAGAAAACAGGGAAACATATTCATCTTTGAGCGATTCCGTTGCCTATGCTGCAATAGCGGATTAGGAATCAAAAAAATACGTGTGAAAGAATAAAAAAGTCTATCTATTAAAATTAACTCGCCGGTACGACAGGATGCAGATGACGTCGTGGGTAACAGATGTAATTAAAAAAAATGAAACAGTTGGAATAAGCAAATTTTGTTGAATAACTATTCTATGCAGACGGAGTCTCTGGCACAGCTAGTTAACGTATAAAGTGCATGTCCAATTGTAGATTTTACGTGCATAAAAATAATCAACGTAGACCTACATAATGCTCGTGTGATTTGTGAAATGAGGCTCAATAAAGACGAAATCGCTCGAGAGATTCACACAAACGATGTAATGATAGCTTCCAAAATAAGATAATTCAATTGCGATAATTTACTAGACGCTCGCTCGGGGGCAAATTGTTCCGTTTAGGTGTTTAGAGGAAATAAAAGTCGACCCACATTCGAAAGACAAGAGATAGCCATCGAGGCTTAATGAATGAGACGTGGGCAATGATACTTTTTCGTGCTCATTGTCGTAGATTTCTCGAGGTGATTCGCTAATAGCCGATATTAAATTGCCCCCGAGGTGTTATGAGGACTACCGGCAAACAATGAGAATTATAATTATTCTCAGAACGATGAACTGACGCTGATGAGTCGCTCGAGGCGGATTACCATCGCGTCACGATTGGGTGCCCTCATTGTTTGTCTTCTAGGATTAAGAACACACTGACAGCGCCATACTTATAAAGCTAGCTTAAGCTACGAAACATAATTACACTTATTATTCATTCATTTGTTTTTACAGAGTTTAGGACAGACATTTCTTGGTATTACTAGACCGACTTTTGTTTTTAGGTAATTACTTAACACTTATGACGAGCTCGACCGTAACATTGTGTTTTCAATAAAAAGTTTGTTTGTTTGAAAGCGCTAAACCACTGGTGGGAATCAAAAAAATATTTTTGTGGTAGTTATAACATTTATCGATGAAGGTTGCTTTGCTGCGACCATCACGAGCGAAGAAACAGGTTTTAAAGATACCCAAAAAACGTATGAAAGAATGATTCCCCTTTAGTCTTAGGACACGGAATTTATTAGGATACAGGCGATGTTTGCAAAAACAAATTTGGATGACCAAAATACGCCATTCTACGCGGACAAAGTCGCTGAGTCAGCTAGTTATACAATAAGCCGGTATAACGTCACTTCCGACATATCTTAGGGAATCGTGCGCTAGTGCTTTTAATGGGTGTTAAGACCTGATAAGAACTAGGATAACTGGTAATTCTAATTAGCAAGGTGATGCAATCTAGTTATCTGTACCTCTCCGTCTGGAATGATACAGGAATTTCGCATAACTAACTTGACAGGGGAGGAAATTTTCTTCGCGATAGTTTTTGCGATCGTTTTTATACGATGGAATTAAGAACTTTATCTGTATTGAAGAACCAGTTGACAGAAAGAAAAAAATATTTGGCATCACTTAATGGGTACATAAATCAATTTTGTAACGGCATCGGCTAACGTAATCATAATAATAGTAAGTGATTTATAGCGAAAATTAGCGTTTGATACGAAATTAATCAAATTGTAAATAGTGTTTTAGATGTTATATATAACATTATTATTAATATATATTGAACTGTTATAAAAACGGCAGATACATGAGTACTATTTAAGATTTGTATAAAATTATATTGTATCTATTTGGTAAACGAACCCGCTCTTATGTTTTAATTAAACTTAGATAATTGATTTCTATTAAACACTGTCTGTAGTTTACGCAAGTAGTACACATTTAAATAAAACACTATAACGGTTTAAAACGCGATATATTTTAGTTAAAACTTGTATGAAAATTATTTTTAACCACGGCCCGACGTTTCGGATGCTTTGCAGCAGCCGTGGTCACGGGGTCACCGTTATAGAATTTAATTTAACAATGCTATAGCGAAAACTTTATACATATACATGTCATATAGTTTTCGTTTAGTTCAACAGTTCTAAAAGTTTTGTAGTTCAAAAATAACTGCAGTTTAACGTATTTTAAATAAAGCACTTTAACGGTTTAAAACGCGATATATTAGTTAAACTTTAACACAAGTTTAACTAATATATCGCGTTTTAAACCGTTCAAGTGTAAGTTTAACTAATATATCGCGTTTTAAACCGTTAAAGTGTTTTATTTAAATATGTACTACTCGCGTAAACTATTGACAGTCGATCGATTTGATCGAATCGATTTGTGCAATAACATGTGAAAAGTAAAGTTTTCAAACATTTTTTCAACCGCTCAAAAAGTTCCCAGTTAAATAATATATTATTATTGATGTGGCTGTCAGTAGAAGGCGACAGTGCGTTATCAATTCGCATGCGATTAAGATCTGAGCTTCGTGCGTTGATTGCCCGGGTCATTACGCCGAAACGTAGTCAGCGGACCGCACAAACCAACGGTATCCACCACACGGCGGAGCCGCGGGCGGATTCATTATATCTGATATATTATCGTTCGCTTGCTATTTGTTTACATGAGCAATTAATAAAAGCCTTCGCCCAGAAAACAAAAATCGATACACTGACGTTTTTTGGTCGAACTAACACAATAATAACGTAAAAAAAACTACTAAGACCTGCTAAAGGTAGAGTGGCCTAATAACAAAAGCATGATTTTCAAAAAGGAGGACATTAAAATAACGCAATTAACTTAGGCCAAAATGAACTTGTACTATTATTTGTGTAAGAATTATGTTAACAATTTTCGGTCACTGTGTTCTTGTAGATTAACATTTTTAGACTATAAAGATATAAATAACTCAAGTCATAAAATTGCAGTTAGGCTGCCCTGCCTCTAGCGGCCTCATATAATGTTTCTAAAGAATAGACGAAATGTATGTATGTAGGTATTCTATAATTCGGATTTACGTCTTGTTTGTTTTCTTTTTCCGTGTATTTTGTGTGAATAATTATACGTAAATTAGTAAAAACAAAATTAATCTTATATACTGTCTATAGTTTACGCGAGTAGTACACATTTAAATGAAACGTGGTCACGGCTGCTGCAAAGCATCCGAAACGTCGGGCCGAAGTTAAAAATCATTTTAAAATAAGGTTAAATAATATATATATCGCGCTTTAAACCGTTAAAGTGGTTTTAGTATTAATCTTGTATTTTCAATTTGAATATAGAATTTAACAATAAACAAAAGAGCATAAACTATATATATGAGTATTTGTCAAAAATGTTGTCGCCTTTAAATGGTAAGTGTACAAAATATCTTTGTCTGTTCTCTTAATTATAGTTTAACGACCCATATTATCATATATCACTGGATTAATTTGCACAAATCACATTGCTTGTCTGTAAAATATGGAAATAAGAAGTAAAGCATAGATAACGCGGAAGGCTAATTTGAATTCTAATGACGTTAAACTGTATGGGAAGCGAAAGTGTGTCATCGTGGTCTCGACAAAAGTACAATACTGATCACGTACTGAAAATTGGATTGGTAATTTTTCCGCTCCATTCTGGCGGTGCCGGTCGAAGAACACGGCATATTCTTTATAAATAACCGGATGAGTGCGAGTCATATTGGCGCACACGGGGTTCCGTACCAAGTAGGTGTATAAATTTCATATAAACTTTGGTATCTAAATAAAACACTTTACGGTTTAAAACGCGACATATATAAGTTAAACTTTTTTGAAGATTATTTTCGGATGCTTTATATATCGCGTTTTAAACCGTTAGTGTTTAATTTAAATGTGTACTACTCTCGTAAACTACAGGCGGTATTTAACTGTTGGTATTATTATGAAACAAAAATTATTCATTTGTTTGATTTAATTATATACATATTGTCAAAGTAACTTGAGTTTACAAATGCTTTCCTTTTGCCCGTATTGATATGAAGCAGAAGTTGATTGATTTTTGTAAAATTATCTACTGTTTTGTTTAGATATTGTTATTTTGAGACAGACTGGAAACTAAAAAAATAAATAAAAAATTAAGGTAACAGCGTCTCTTTTTATCTATACTTTGCTACGAAACCCTAAATAGTAGTACATCGTACGATATACGTAACCCAATCAGCCGAAAATCGTGGAGGTGTCGTGGTGTGATTAACGAATGATTGAAGCCTCGCCCCAATACTTCCCGCGGCGAACTAGTTGTCATACAGATGTCTTAGGTGTGACTGATTTAATCGAAATATCTGTACTTTTTAGTGCAAGAAGCAGTGAAGAGTATTACACGCTCATTTATTTAGTATTCGTAACTGAGAGCAGCATTCAAATTAACCCGCGCTTCTTCAATCTCCCCGGGGAGTCTCCCCGTGACCACGGCTGCTGCAAAGCATCCGAAACGTCGGGCCGAAGTTAAAAATCATTTTCAAATAAGTTTAATTAATATATCGCATTTTAAACCGTTAAAGTGTTTTATCTAAAAGGAATCAGTTTTTTATTGCTTCTGAACGTGTATTTGTTTTTTTATGTTTGGTTGATGGTTTGTGTATTGTGTAGTATGTAATTTACTCAAATATTCTAAGTTTATCTATACTAAACGCGATAATCTAAAAATAATCCGCGACAGTGTCTTTAAAATTAGCTTGCAAGAACTACAGGACGCGGATGACTTCGTTGGCTTCGTTCGCTATAATTTATAAAGCTGAGGAGCTTTGCAAAAATAAACAATACGATGCCCAAAACAACAATTCCATGCGGCCTAAATCGCGGAAATAGCTAGTAACAAATAAGCCATCTCAGCAAAATCTTTAATCTGATTCAAAGCTTGAGCTGTACTCGTGAGTTTGAATTAAGCCGATGTACTGGCACAAATCAATGCCATAAATGAATCCTTTAAAATTTGTCTATGTATTTTCTGATGTAAAGTTTCACGTTAACATTATAAATATTCAAGTAAATGTAACCTCAGACGTAAGTTGAGGTTTACTAGTGAAATTTAAACTAGCATATCATTTGAAGTGAAGGTGTTAGTCTAAACGTGACCTAATACCGTTAAACATATTCACGTGGAGACGATATTGTTCAGTCAGCAGTCAGCACGAAGTCCCATACACTTGTACAAAAACTCAATGAAAGTCGAAAGTCACGCTTTCACTTGTCGGCGATTCTGTATTGTGCGTCATAGCAGCAAAACTCATTTTTAACAAAGAATTTCGGTAATAGTCGAATTATCGAGGTGATATTGGGTCAAATTATTTATTATCATCTCGCTGTGAGGCATTTTTGTTTAATGATTTTATCACTACATAGTATAAAACAAAGTCGCTTTTTCTGTCGGCCTTATAGTACGCTTAATATTTTTTTTAGAAATCCACAACTGACTGAAACTGATGTTTATGTAGAAATATATTTTTTTTATTTATCTAATTATTTATTTAACAATTCAAGCCAACAGACCACTTTAAGATGCAAAATACATTTAAAATAAATTGCATAGTAACAGTTACATCATATCGAGGTTTAACATCGTGATAAGTGTCAAAGCTCTTCGCAGTGACTTGTCAAGTCGGGGTCAATCACTAGAAGGGTCAGAGGCAGGCAATTAAACAGTCTGCGCATGTTTGCCCCCGCTAATCTCTCTCTTAATTTAAACACATAATATTATTAAATAAGTTTGTTGACAGTAGGACATGTCAATAAACTTGTTTAATACTTAGTTAGGAGACGGGCTTTGATAGGTTTATCAATATAAAAAAATAAAGAAATATAAGCAACTAGCTGTGCCCGCGACTTCGTCCGCGTGTACTCAAACGTATGTCTTGGGGTAGAATTCAGCCAATCTATGTTCTAAGTGCTACTTTGCCGCAACACTCGCACCTCACATCACTGATACTAAACTCCACTCTAATTCCTACACTCACCACTCCCACTACCACTCCTATTGCCAAAAAGCCAAAGAAGTTAGCTTCAAAAACCACGAATTTCCATACTAACTTTCATCCCCTTTTTCAACCCCTGTCAACACTTTTTTGACATTAAAAAGCCTATGTCCTTTCACAGGCTCTTAAATATCTGTGTACCAAATTTCATTCAAATCTGTTCAGTAGTTTCAGCTTTAAAGACAGACAGACAGACAGAGTTACTTTCGCATTTATAATATTAGTTATAGATTTAAAAGCGGATCTAATCGGAGGCTTTCAAATCAAGGACGCAAAGCAAATGAGAAGAAAAAAAACACGTCGTTACTCTTTTATTCCTAGTTACATTATGCAAGACTCTTCAAGAAGCTTTATAATTAGCATCTTGACGAATCGCTTTCTAAGCATAAAAGCATTCTTGCGATCGAAAAATGTAGCAGGACAAACATTTACACGATAGAGCATAAGAACCGAACATTTAAAACTAAAAAAGATGATAGTGGGTGATTTTAACCTTTCATAAAATGATTTCCAAGTTTAATTAATGTCTGTGCGAGCTAAAAAGTACAAGGCTACGACCAACAGGAGCGATGAAGCAGGGGAAAAAATGGAAAAAAAATCGGTTTCGGTGAGTGCAGTAACACTACCGAAAAATTAAAGATATTTAAAAAATATGTATAACAGAATTATTCTTCTTTTAATAGTCTGAATATTCATGACAGTGTATGTCTCTTTTAAGATTAAGTCACAATAGCCGCTTTCACGGTAATCAAACTTTCTTCGAAACACTTCATAATATGGCAAAGTAACGTTTGCCGAGTAAGCTAGTATTTAATAAAAGAAGCATTAAAAGCATAATTATGCGAACCTTAATTTAATATCGCAAACAAATTACCCAAACCCGCCTTTTCGACGTCGATTGGATACATTTTGTTGTACTATTAAAATTAACCATCGCATCTCATAGTTCTAAATTACAATGCTTTCGTATCTCGATAAAAATGGAAGCGATATTGCGTATCTATATACGGCGAAAATAAATGAGTAGTAGACTATTCATACTACCGACCCTAGTTAGACAACTAATTGATTTACGCACTGAACTTGTCTCATCATTGCAATAATTTAAACCACTTACCGCTTAATGCATACGTAACACGATAGCATCTAATAATTTGTCTGAAATAGGGTGGTAAGTTTGAATAAATTATAATGATAATGTTTTAAAAAATACTTATTCTGTGAGTTATTTGTTTTCTATATATGTACTAACTGAGCCGGCTAACGTTGTTTTGTCATGTAACTAGATGTTACTAAAAATCTATTAAAAAAAATAGGTTGATGAAAGGGTGAAAATTGAGGACTGTATGTACCTTTGAAGTTGTATCCTACCAAGATAGGAATTAAAAATTTTGTTCAAAAATTAAAAAAAAAATTAAGGGTGAACCACCCTTCTCACTTAGTGGGATGAAAAATAGATGTTGTCCTATTCTCAGACCTATTGAACACACATATGAAATTTGGTGAAAATCGGTCGAGCCGTTTCGGAGGAGTTCAAGTTCGAACACCGTGACACGAGAATTTTATATATTAGATTATTTCATACAAACTTCAATGGTTACCGTGACACGAAAATAATGTTAAGTTAATTTTATCACTGATTTTTACAATCTATGGATATTTATTATATAAGTATTCCATTCAATAGGCAGTCAGTCTAGGTTTTAATATTATGGCAGGCATATACAACTAAAGAAATTCAAGCTAAGTTAAAATTGTAATGTACTTTTTAACCCCTTCTTTTTTAATCTAATCTAGTTAAATCGACATGGGAGTAAAGTAAAAATCTATTTAAAAGAAATGTTTCTTTAAAGCGGGAAATTTTGTAGTCACTTAGACATTATCGAAATTTTTTAACTTAGTAAAGATTGTTCTTAAATGTTAATAATACTAATTAGTTACTAATATGTATAGTAAATACTCGTAGTCTAAATAAATGAAATCAAATAAATATACAGTAAATTATAAGTAAAATAAATTCACAGTAACGCAAATAAAGCACATTTTAATCTTTGTTAATAAAAAACAATATTGATTAATGAACTGTGAAACTTACCACCCTATATTAGACTAAGTATAGCGTATCTGGCCGAGTGGTTAGCTCGACGAGTTAAATGGGTATAATTATGTATGTGATAATTACCTGCGGTGGCAGAGCGGGGAGCTCCCCTGCTTGTCACAAGTCCCCCCAAATGACAGCGCGCTTCCCGCGGTCCACGGACGCTAATAGCCCCGACTGCGGGTGCCAAGACACCGCCGTCACCGCTGACCTGAACGAAAATAGTTGCAAGGAATTAATTGAATGTCTCGTAATTTACCTTTTACATTGCGCACTGTGGACCGACCATATAAGCCTGTACAGATAAAAATATTTGAAAAACTACAACCTTATTTTTTATTTAAACAATACTTATACCATTTAAATAAAACACTTTAACGGTTTAAAACGCGATATATTCGTTAAACTTATTTTGAAAATGACTTTTAACTTCGGCCCGACGTTTCGGATGCTTTGCAGCAGCCGTGGTCACGGGGAGACTGATTTTCAACCGTTAAAGTGTTTTATTTAAATGTGTACTACTCGCGTAAACTACAGACAGTATCTAATACTTATACCATTTCAACCTAGATATATATATTTTATGATAGAGGAAGACAGACAAGTAAGTGATCCCCATCATTATGGTAGGTGATATACCCCACCCACGTAACATCGAAACTAGATGCGCTGTCGATCTATTTTGGCTTTGGATATTGGGAAATCTACAGACTGAATCCGAAACGCGATTAAAGTTCATGTCTTTTTCATCTGTGAATGCTGGTGACCTGGAAGGAATTTCGAAATTCCTACCACCCTTCATATCCAGATTTCTAAACGAACAAGAAACACGGTTGGTTTCAGTAAATTTGTAAATTTATTTAAAAAAAAACGATTCGATTATATCAAACTCGCCCTTTGATTATTAGCGAACATTGCAATATTTCCAAGGAGCAATACTCTTTGTTTTGACAACTAAATTAGGTCTCATTTATACCGAGAGATACATAAACTGTAAAAATTCTTAGGCTTAGCCGATATTATTATTATTATGAAATATAAATCCAACGCCTTACAGAGCTCGTTGGTAAGATAACCTTACCGGGGTTGACATTATATTGAATTGTTCTCAGATTATTACAACTCGAAATATGTTACCGGGAAAGGGTAATCCATAAAAGTCGTAATTGGATAAATCAATTGAACATTTCTCGAGATATGCTAAAGAAATATCAGTCGGTCCCGTTAATAAAATTGAATAATTGTCGAGTCTCAGAGAGTAAAGTCGTGAGTGAGGAACATGTCAGATGGGGAATGGCGAACCTTGAATAGTCAATCCCGATACTGATAAATCTCGCTGAGCATTTGAACCGCGGAGAGTTGGTATCGACAAATATATGAGCTTTGACATTTCTAACGCCGCTTTAACGCTAAGTAATGGCCCGGAATGAAATATCCTCTGAGGGCGGGCGCACGATTTATTACGTTCGGAGATCAGTATTCGATTAAATAAAAACGAATGAAGTTTTTACAACAATGGCCTGATGACGTAATGGTTTTTTTATACAGACAATGTTATTTATATGTACTTGTCAAGTTTTCGAGCCATCGTAATTGAGATTTTTTTAAACAGAGACAAACAAACAAACATAGAGTTCACATTATGGCCTTCCATACCATTCTTTACCAACCTAACACTGACAGCTAGTTTCGAGTTTTGAATGTTGTCCATTAAATTCAATTCGATTTTAGATTGAAAACGGATAGCGTCACGGACCCACAGCGTACCGTGCTATTGCTTTAGCCAAAGGAGCTACAGTGTCCTACACGTTATCGTCGAATATTTTCAACCTATTGATAGATGCCCATACCCCATATTATTTTAACTTCCCTACTGAATATCTATAGTCCTTTGTGCCAATATTACGAATTATTTGACAAATCAGATTAACAAGTAACATGAATACGTAGATTGACACAATGAGTAGATACCCTTCTTTCTGGCTTGACCGTCGTCGGGTATACTAGCGAAACAAGAGGGAACCATTAAATCATCAAACTGGTAGCCATAAGTTTGACATTTACGATGTGCATCTCGCTAGCGATGATAAACGTCATACTTATGTCGTCTCTCCGACTTAAAAGGAAAGCGTATTTCGGAGTTTTCGACAAAATCTAAGTTCACAAGGCCATAAACTCGCTTCGGACTCGGCTATGGTTTATAGTGGCTAGTGCATTTTGTGCTCATACCACCGTTATACTTCCTAGAATATACCGTGCGATATCAAGTTTTATGCAGCTGTATATAACAAATATTATGGTCTTTAAAATGTATGTCAATAACGCGGTGTAGCGGTTGTAATTTGGAATCTAAACACTCTGTTCGGAGCGCTTATATATTAGAAAGTAATTAAAATTAAACGAGAAAATTATTGCACTAGTTTATGAGAGTTAAAATTCATTCTAATATCACTAGTTTGTTTAGTTATTGGTTTGACAGTACATTAATACATATTTCTGGCAAAAAGTATAAAAACCGTATTTCCGAGTTAATCTTAAGTGAGACATATAGTGTCACAAACTTTTCTTAGATTATTTAAAGAAACATAGTTCATCATATATATTTTGGGTATCTTGAACCGGTTTCGCAATGCACACGGAAACGGAACGGAATACCTAAAAGAATAAAAAAAAACATTTTATATACACATTTCCTACTGTTATTATTGGCTCCTAATAGCCGCAGCCTTCCTTGATAAATGTTCTAACTAATACAAAAACAGTTTTTTTAATTCGAATCGTAGATCGTGTGATTATCGCGATCAAGCAAACTAACCCTTCAGCAACATAATATTAGTATGGATACAAATATAATAAACAATTATTGGCAAATTAGTTACCTTAATACATAAAACTAAAATTACGTATGTAACGAGAAAATAACAAAGATTACTCAATACAGTTACGATGAAAGTGAGATAATTAATAGTCAGTAGGTTTTATTGTTTGAGGTTTATTACCGTATTTATTCGCGACAAAGGGCCGGCATAAACTAGAATTAGAGAGTATGCGCGGTTCGTTTACACATACCGCTTCTGGTTCTGTATAACGAGCCTCTTAGCCGCGGCCAATTTGGAAGCAGGAAGGCAAATACCGCGCCAAAATCGGGAACTGGCTATTGTCGTTGGAAATAAATAGGATGAGCGTATACGCTTAATGCATACAGATTTAATTAGAGAATAAACAACAAAACTTATACAGATGTATCCGATTGGTTTTATATGTGGGCCATACAGTTATTTCAAACGCACAGTTAATTAAAACGTTATGATAGATAACAGAATTCCTTTCAATTATTCGACATGTTACCGGCAGTGTGAATAATTTGGTGTTTTACACAATGGCTAGTGCAACTCTCATTATAAGCCTAAATCTTCAAACTGAAATACAAGATTTTTATAATGCCAGGACAAATATTTAATGAAGCTAATAATTTTATTTTGCTTAATATATAGTACACCTCTAACGCGTGGGTATAAATAAATTTTAACTTACTTAATCTAGCCATCCTACAGAGCAATAAAGTTTCTTGAAATGTTTAAATTCCTTAAAAAGAAGCAAAAGATAAAATTGTAGAAGTAAGCAAGATAACATATATAACGACTTTTATCAAATATTTTACATTACAGTTAAAATCTAGGGATAGTATAGTATGCGTACCCCTTCAAATATAGAGAATAATTGAAGTATTATGGTTATGGCTTTGGAAGAATGTTATACAAAACATAGCCACATTGTGTAAAATACCCGAATTGAAATATTGTCGGTAACATATCGGATAAACAAATGAAGAGGCCGAATTATTCACGATGCATATAGACACTCATTTAATAACCGTTTTCTGTGCGCCTGCTCAATCGAAATGGAATGTACTGCGTTTCAATTTAAGAAATTATTGACATGTTATCTCTCGTGCTTGTCAGCATCTAAACGAATTATAAATGAATTAATGACGCAAGATTCGATGTTAGTTATGGCGTAATTGCATTAATGTAATTTGTTGGTAAATAAATTGTAAAAGGCTTTCATTTGTAGATAGACACGATAGATTAAATAGCTTATCAGAGGGAAAGATAATCTTTTGTATACGTCTATGCATATTTCTTGTGTGAGCCACGACTGTGTGTGGTAGCTTGCCGAAATAAGCAATTTGGAGAAGCATTATAGAGTCAATCACCTTTATCCCTTGCGGAAATACCAACGTCGATCGATTTGAAAATAATCGTCGAGACGTTCTTTAATTAAAAATAAAATCATAATAAGAGTGAATATTTGAAGTTTATTACCATACAAATCATAAGTTAATAAATTTTAAGAATTATTTTTATCAAAAACTAAGTGAAAACGATTTCTTAGCACATACGTCAAATTTAAATCCCATAGTCCACTTGATCATACATATTTTTGACTTAATTAGCAAATACAAATATTTGAATTTTTTTTTTATAACCGATAAATTTATTTTTTTACGGCACGTGCTCTTTATTTAAGTTTTATGTAATGTTCGTGTACCATTCGGTGTTATTTTTAATTAGCGTAATAAAATTTAAAAATTACGGACATTAATAAAATGGAATTTTATTGCTCTAGACTATAATTACCATAATATTATATGGTATTGTAATATTCCGTTTTAATGGCAACTGTAAATCCTAGGCTAATGTTTAGAAGGAAACTTTTTATATTATTGTTGTAGTGAAAAATATTCTGATGTAGTCATTATAAAAACTCTTCACTGCATCTATTTTAGGCGAGGCTATTCATGTGGTTATTTTGTATTTAAATAATTATTGTTAATTGCAACTTTATGGATTTGAATCTAACATTCCATTAGTTAGTTTTCATTCCCTATTCTATTTAAATAAACCTGTTCATTTAAATACAACACTTTAACGGTTTAAAACGCGATATATTAGTTAAACTTATTTAAAAATCATTTTCAAATAAGTTTAACTAATTAATCGCGTTTTAAACCATTAAAGTGTTTTATTTAATGTGTTCTACTCGCGTAAACTATAGACAGTATTTAAAATTGTTCATATTAAATTTTATTGGGAACGTTAATAAGTTAGATATCGGTCTTACGAACCAAAGATAATAATGTAATGTTGTTTTAAAGTAAATATTTTCGAAAAGTGCATGCCCCAACCATAATCTTATTTATGTATGTACGTCTCTGGTATTTAGTAAGTCTCTATCGGGGTTGTTAATCGAAATCTTCTAGCCATTATGTTTAATAATTTTCTAAGGGGCCGTTATCGCAAGTGATATGAATCAACGATAAATCGTCGGGTTGTACAATAAATCATAATGTACGCAATAACAATAAGTACCTATATGTCGCACATGTTCCTGTTAATTTTGTGTTGCGGCCTCATGCTGCGTGGAGACAGGAGGCTTATTCTAATATAGGGGACATAGTAAATTCATATTATGCTTTATTTTGTGTATACCTTGAAATTATTTACTCAACTTGTGTAGTTTTATTTGTTATGCATTGTTATTATTATAATGCAATCAGTCGGAATGAGGATATTTTTAAAAACTGTGTTTAGTCGCCATTTTTTCCAATATGGCTGCGATTGCGGCAAAAGTATGAGGAGCAAAAAATTATCAATATTCGCGGAGAGCACATAGAAATATATAGAATCAACAATTTTAAAAACTGTCGAAATCGATCGGGCTACATTTAAAATTCATTAATAAAAAAACTTTTACTAAAAAGTCCCTAGATGATAATATCGAACATAAAAGAATAGGGTCCTGATGCGTTAACGCCTGCCGAGATAGTATTCAGCTAGTAACTGCGAACGTCACTACTCGCTATTGTGCATAAATATGTGTCCCTAAAGCGGTATTCGTTAAACAATATCACATTTATCGTAGCCTAATTCTGCTATTTACACTTGCCTCACCAATAGCTATGGCGGGCTGGCTAGTAAGATTTGATATTCTACTAGCACGTAGAATAATTACTATGGCAGCATTATGGTGGCTTTTCTTTTTACACGATTGACGCTTAATATAATACTAATAGCTGTACCATGACTTCGTCCGCGTGCAATTGTTATTTTGAGCATTAAAATTTATTTTTGCAAAAAATCGCCTCGTCTTTATAAATTATAGCTGATACACACGCCGTTATCAGCGTCTCGCGTTTCTTGCGAGTTAATTTTAAAACATATGCCTATTATATGGTTGCGGACATATTTTTAGATCATTTCAAAATCATTCTGTCATAAAATTTTTGGTTTATATTTGATGAGATGGTTAATTTTTTCCGTTCTTTCGACATTTTTCTCTGTTCCTTAGCGCTTCTATTGGTCGCAGCTTAATGATTTGATGCCCAAAACCTTCCTCGATAGATGGTCCGACAAACACAAAAATAATTTTCTAATTCAAACCAGTAGTTCCTTAGATAAGCGCGTTTAAAGAAACTCTTCAGCTTTATAATATGAGTATAGATTACCCTGTCAGTTGTATCTCGCCACTCACTGTTCGTCAATTACCAGAATTAGGGCCCAAATCGGTCTTAGAACACAAACAGTAAGTGCATTCTAAGGCTATTTTGATGCAGCATATAACACCGTAGCGATAAAACCATATAATTCTTTGCTCGACAACGTAGGACATAAATGAGAGTTTCCTGTGAGATTCCGAGCGCGTTAAAGACATTTTATAGCAATAATGTTAATAAGTCTATCTCGATAAGCGCATTCGCTCCACTTCGTAAGGCAAAACAGTTTTGTTGTCGGAGTGTTGAACCCGCTCGCGGTTTATGAAACACGAAACAATAGCTGAGCCGAAATGAAAAGCAATCTTTATTGTTTATCTGGCTCTATTCCGATATAGTATTTCAATTTATTTCTATGGAGGAATATACAACAGTTGTGTGTTGTTGCAAATGGTTTAGTGATACAATGTATAATAATGAACATTGTAAATATCTGATGTATGGACATTTTATTGTTAGCGGAAATTGCCAAATTCCGTCCAAAGGTGGCTTTGCCGTGAAGTATTAGTCTTAGTTGTGGGTTAAAATTGAAAATTCTTGAATGTGCAAAGCCGAATTGTATTAACATCGCATCTTAGTTACTTGTTAAAGGTAGAGGCAATTTATCAAACGACCACAATACTTGTTCGCTCTTTTTCTAGCTTAAAACAATATATTATTTAAGCAACGTTTCGGGTATTTGAAATTATATTGTAATTAACATAATTATTTTCAACTCGATTTGAAACAGTTTTATTTAGTACTAAAGTGTACGAGAGACCGGGAAATGGGTTGTAAATATTTATACAACTGTTTAAAATACGAATAGAGAATCGTACTTAATTTAAATGCTGAAATAATCGTTACACGAGGTAATCGCTTCCTTAGTGCTGATTTAAGAGAACCATTACTTTATATTTCTGGTAGTAGAATGTTTGTACATTAATGTTTCATTGATTATAAAGACTATTAAGTCTAATCTATTTAAAAAGGGGATGTTTCGTATAATTATTGCAATAATTGAGGTATTTTAGCCTCGTTAAAACACCCCCAGCAGTTCATAATATTTACACGCGATAAGCGCGAGTTCGGGGTACTGTAGGAAATATTTGATAACTACATATGTCATGTGACTTCGTCCGCGTAGAATACTTATGTTTTGGGCATAAAACTATCATTTAATAAATCAGTTTTGTCCTGGCTTGGTTTTAAACTTGATCCATTACTTCTTTTCTCAATTAATTTACATATATCACACCACAGTTATACTGGATGTGGATAGGAACATAATACAATGCAATAATTTCAGGAATGTAAGCACACACTGCATCTGAAAGTCGTCGGTGGGAAGTAGGAATTAACGAGAGAGACGAAACTGACGTTGACCTCACGACTTCAATTGTCCAGGCAAATTGTTCCAACTAGACGATGTCACGAGTGAAATATTCGAGTGTGAATTTCAAGGTCGTTAAATGTATATAAATTTTGTACATACTTAAACGTCGGCATGTTTTATGCTGTGAACATGAAAAGTTGAAATTTAATTTGTAGATATTATCGTTGTCTTAAAAGAGAAAATACGAAGAAATAGTAATATAATAAGCTAATAATTTAAATAAAAGACTTTCCAACTGTTTGAAACGCGAAATACAGTACTGTATTTGTATTACTCAAACTTATTTTATGGGGACTATCCCCGTAACCACGATTACTGCAAAGCATTTGAAGCGTCGGGCCGCAGTTTAAATAAATTATAAATCTGTTTAACTAATATATATATCGTTATAAACTTGCGTTAACTAGAAACAAAACCTATTAATAGATTGACTCGGTAGCTCAATTGGTAGAGCAACAGCACAGAACGCTGACGATGCCGGTTCAAGTCCTGCCCGAGTCGAAAATTTTTTCAATTTATTTTAGATTTTTAAATTATATAGTGCCTTCATGTGCAATAACATGTAAAAAATATTAATGTTTTCAAACTGAACTATCTTCTATAATTAATTCTTATTTCCTACGGCGTTGAAACGTTATGAACGAAAAGAAATACCACACTTCAAATATAATCGAAAAGAAATTACGGTTTCATTTGTGGAAGAAATCGGTTCATCATACAATGAAGAAGCAATAACCCTATGGGCTATGTTTATAGGTCAATAAAAGCAATCGACTTTTGACAGATAATAGCTTCGAGTCCATAAAACTCGAACTAAGTACTCAATTCAGACGGAAAAGCTTATAATAATTAAGATACCGCTATAGTAAATATTCGACAAGATAATGAGTAAGGGTTTATGCGATGAGAAAATGTTTAAAGGACATAAGCTATTATAATATTAGACGTCGTTAGTATAAATGGTAATTTTACTGAAGTTTCAAATTAAACTTTCATAGTTAAAAATGAATTATCATTTTACATATACGCTATACCTTAATATTGACCTGTCGGTTTTTTTTTTCAAATTCAAAAACTTTATTGCCATATTAAGATATTTACAAACTTATAACTAAATTGTGTGCATAAAAAAATACGATTAGTATTTGTTAAAAAGGAGAAAAAATAGTCCACTTGTAATTTAAATAAAAAACTTCAACGGTTTAAAACGCGATATATTTTTAGTTAAACTTGTTGAATTATTTAACTACGGCCCGACGTTTCACGTTGGATATTCGGATTGATTTAAATACTTACGAATGATCTTTGAGTACCGCTTCGAGTTTTCCCGTACAAGTGTTCCAGACATAGGCCGCGCCGTCTGCCGCGCCCACCGCAAGCAGCCTTCCGCCCGGGCCAAAGGCCGCCCTTGACCAGTCGCAGCCCACTTTAAATGAGTCATGACTGTAAGAATTAACAGATTTATTAAATGAAACTGAACAGTTTATATAACTACATACATATAACTTTATGTAAAGAACTTTTATTTCAAGTCATAATGACAGAAAATTAAGAACATTAGGTAAGTTATCTGTAAGAGTAGAATATTGTACGATCTCAAATGCAACATAGTAGCCGTATAAGTAAACAGCCTGTGATCGTGACTTCGAAACCAACCCGTGTCGAAAATCGTACATTTTTATATCAATTAAAAAAGCTAACAACACATAAAGTGACAACAATTTTTTTAATTCTACCATTTTGAATAGTATCACATTACCTGAATGATCGTACTATAGTGTTCATTCGTAAATCTATGAGTTGTATCGTGTCGTCCCGGACGCAGGCTAACAAGTAATTGCTATCTGAAAAAATAAACAAAATATAACCAATTTCTATAACGTATTCACTTTAATCATTATATTTTACTATCTTTAAATCATATTTAATTAATAGGTTATATTAAACTTTATTGATAGATGATTATTTTAAATCTTTCAACTAAATGGCCACTTTCCGTTATACCGACGATATGAAATAGTCTTCATAAAAAACCACTGCTAAATTATACAGACGCAAATATCGCTTCGCTATTTATCATGTTTACCGTGATCATGGTGTATTATTAAATTTATTGGCATTCTATGTTCACGAGAAGTTTAACCTCCGCTGTACCAAAACCTTTGGCAGTATAAGGTAAAAAGCAGTTGAGACCGCTAGATTATGCCAGGATTATTATTAAATTAAATGGGACTTAACAACATGATAAAATCTCTCTCGCATTAATCATAGCATTAGTGGATGTTGGACAATCAATTGGGGTTTACTTGAAATATTATCGGAAAGTGGTACGAGGGGATAATATTTTCTGTGGCGTTTGAAGTTTATTGCGATGATGGTGCACAATGTTTGTGTATGACATAGGTTCTTTCATTAATCTTTAAATTTAAACAGCTTTTAAACAATAAAAAGCAATGATATCTCAAATTATTGCTTTTTGTGATTGTTTCAAGGATCTCTTAAGTAAATTCGTGTGATATGTGCTGTGGTGTCGGGCCTTTTTCTCGTTATGTGCGATTGAGCCCAGATTCGATAGTCGGGTAACATTCTGGTTTTCATCGGACAGAGCACAGTGATAAACAACTTAATGGGTCAGTGGAGCGGACCCAGTATTGTCTGCCCATATAGACAAAACGGGATTTGACGCGCACGTTTCGTGTGCAATGACAGATGATAAGATAAACAAGATGGCCGCTATGAACTGCTAAACTTCGATACCAAGATAGTAGATCGCCCCTATGTGGGCCACCGCAACATCCGCCGTTCATTACGAGAGCACATCAACGCGTAACAGATGATTGATACTTTTGATGGATTCGGATCAAGCGTGACGTCTAACTGTGAACGGTTCCCTGGTTATTGGACGAGCGAGGTCGGCGGCGACGAAATCGACGTGATTCAATCAGTTTCCGAAACCGACGTCCAGACGCTCCGAGAGAAGGTATCAATCTCGCCATTTCGTGCACGGTCCGAACCGTTACAGACAAAAAAGGGTTCGAACGAGACACGCGTAACGGAAATAGGAATCGCTTACCCGTCACGTTGTTCTGACACGAATAGCGAAACTACACCCCGTTCAATTTAGATTGATAAGTTCGATCTATGAAGTATTGCATTTTTTATATTCCACCTCAAATAATACCGCGCTTCAATTGTTGGTGGAATTAGTTGCTTGTGATCGAAAAATATGATAAATGTTAAAATAGGGAAATCATATTTTAAGATGTCACTTTTTTTTATAAAATGTCAATTAATGTTAATTTTTCTTATAAGATATATTAAATCAACAATGGAGTAGATTCACGCTCCTTCCTATGGATAAATCTTAAACTTATCATCCTATATAACACATGTTATAACATAATATGCGAGCTCGATTACTGAAGAATACACCTATAGAAATATAAAACAAGCAGTTAAAAGCTTCTTCGAAATAAAAATTAATGCGTCGAACTTCGATCATGAGTAAGTGAAAATTTTAATTAAACCCGATATCAATTACCTCTGCTGAGATCGAGCGAGGTGACCTTGCCCTGGAGCATAATGTGATTGGCAGACATTTCTGTTCGTATGTCCCAAAATCGTATCCGCTTGTCGAAGTGGCCGGAAATTATAGTTGAGCCTGCGCCGTCTGACGTCACGAGGTCATTGCAAGACGATCCCGCGAATTTCGTTTCTGTACCTATTGATTAAGGCAAATTAAAATAAATGGGTTATTTAATAAAAAAAATATAAATGTCAGCGCTATAGTGGCTTATATTTCCTTTATACTTTATATTTTCTGATGTTACACAGTTAAGTAGTTCAATAATAATCAGTAGAATAGGTGTGAATATAATTAAATGATTTTTTTCAATAAAAACCTCAATTATTTTAAAGTTCTAATCCATATACTTCTTCTAAATAAATCTTTTGAAAAATTGAAAAAAAAAATTACTAATTGATTTTATCTATAGGCAAGTAGGTGATCAATGAAACCCTTAACCCTTCTCTGGGAATATTGAATTATATTTCTGTAGAATTCAATTTCACATCGCTCGCAACGGAATAGGTGGAAATAATGAAAAGCAATCCAAGCTTATGTACCCACACATTCTACTCCTAAGATCCCATATTTTTAAGGTTCGGTCGTGGCTGCCCGTTATGACTTTCGAAGGTTCTCCAAGAAACTTCGCCGCCATCACTTTCCCACTGTGTCCAGTTAATGTATGCTGAAACAAAGAATTGACACATCAAATCTTAGATAAGATAGAAACGACAATGATTGTTGGATAAGAGCGAATTGCGATTACTTCCGGTGATATTCGTTGCGGTGTAAAATATGTGATCTCGTTTTTCACATTGAGTTCAAGTAGAGGTTATCTGCTAAGATCCAAATTATAGAATATCATCAAGCATAGTATACATCCAGCTTTAAAAGTATAGGCAAAGCTGCGGCACATAGATATGTGTTTTTAAATTTCAATACATACCTATGTCTTGTCAAATGTAAACGTTAAGAAAGAATTCTCCATACTGATTCGAAACGATACACTACAACAATTATCGTCTTAATCATTTACACAATAACAGATATACACTGTTTTCGTAGTAAGTTGAGTTCATGACTGTGTCATCGATTTTTTCAATAATTCCTTAACCTTTCTGATACATATAAGCTCTTAACTTGCGCAATAAAATTTGAAGATCGTGATATCTGTACCTTGTTGTAATTGATACATTATGAACGCAAAAAATGCGAGAATCACAAAGATAATTAAGAATGATAGTCGGTAGCGACACAGCACGTGTCAAGTATTGGGAATGTTCGTTAAACATTCAATAAGGCCCAATTTAGTCCCTCATTGGCCATTAGCACGAGTACATGGTGCCGCGCATGCGCAGCTAGTTGCGACGAACGATTATTGTCCAATGTTTACGGCTTCGTGATCACACAACTGGCCCCGGCCCGTGCTATACTGACGTCTCACGAACAGATTTGCTGCAAGCTTATTTACATATAAAAAGCTCATTAATTATCCACTTAATGTGTGGCAATAAACTTTTCAGGCTCGCCCGTAACCATAGAAACGGTCTGGGAACATTCAAGTGACCCCCAATTCTGATATTTACACTGGCTTGTTATTCGCTTAGATTGACGTTTAGTAGATAACCATTAACGCTATCGTCTCGATGGTATGTCGCTAGCTGTCTTGTGAATTAGCAGAATCAGATCCATGTTTTCCCGGCTATCACGCTCGTCAGTTCCTTAATTGAACAATAGTAAGTAGTCCAGAAACGTCACCATAACTCAGGTCCCTGCGGTCTCCGCGCGTCTGACCCGCTCGTTCTTAATTACAGACAAAACACTCCGTTATCGGCTGAACGTGTCGACAACTCTCATTCCATTTATGTACAAAGAACAGTAACATAAACAAAGGCAAGCGATCGTAGAGCGAACCGCAAACATTGATCTGCACTCGGATGCCAAACGAAATGTTTGCACAAGTTCGGTATTCTATTCAACTATGTCTATAAACCTCAAAGGCAAACTTCATTTCGCTCTTTAACGGACACAAATAGATACTAACGGACAAACACACTTTTTACACGATAGATGATGACAGACAATACCCCAGCCATATAAAATTCCAAATATATGCGTTATCTTTGATGATGAAGATGGATTTTGGCCTTGGATACTCGCAAAACCACAGACTAAAGTCGAAACGAGATTTCATATCAAGGCTTTTTATATTGTGTTGACGGCGGTTCGTGACCCGGACGTAATTTTGATATTCCTTTAATATCTCCAGACCAAATCCAAAATATTCCAAAAAATATATAAATTTATCAGAAATCTGTTAGACCAGTTGATACTATTAGGCCAACGAGCCCTACAAACAATAATTATATTTTATGTGTCTATTCCACAGGCAAGTAAATTAGGTTTCTGTGTTCTGCTCAATAGAAATTATTATGTTTAGCAAAGATTTGAACTCTATTTTTTTTCTCCCAATGGGTATATAGCCACGGAGGCGGTCAGTAATAAATGCATATAATTGTTTCTAAAAATAAATATCTATCCCTAATAAGCAATGAGAACAAGCAACATTACATCCTTTTTTGATCTAATTGGCATAACATCGCCATAGACGTTTTATTGTTAACCCTTTTCTCAGACCGCTACAGTACCACATAATTAAAAGAACATTAATAACTTCTGTGAGGAAAAAAAAGCCAAGTGCGGGCCTGATTCGCACCAGTGATTCCGTACCATTAACGTCATTTTGTATGCGATTTTAATATTGCAATCTTATTCTAGAAATATTTTTTAAGTAGGTATTTAAAATAAATGAAAAAGATTGTAATATGAAAATTAGGTAGGTACCAGTAACCATTTATAGACATTGAATAGCAATGAGAAGGGATGTAAATAAAAAATGTATTGAGATTAAAAAAAATTAACGACACGAGCGGGACTCGGGCCGGCATCCTAGCGTTCCGTGTAGCTGCGGTAGTTCAATTGATTCCGCCCGTTTTACATTTTTCAATCTAAATAGATTTTTATTTACACATCAAGTGCAATAAAATATGAAAAATGGACGGGCTTGATGGAACGAAATTCCGCTCGGATCACAAACCACCGTCCACAGGTGTTTTCAGTCTGTGGACGGTGACGGTTCAAATTCACCGAATGCATCCAATAAATTCTCTTCTAATAAAAACAATATATTATTTATGGAGCCTTTCTTATGATTTCTTTTTGGTTTCTTGTATTACGAGTAGTTACGATAACAGAATTAGACAATTTGTGTATATTGTCGATCGATTATCGAATTATTTGAAATGTAGCCTTATTACAGACACCGAAGTTTTAATATAGTTACGTTTTCAGCCTTAGCGTACAGAACCCTAAAAAGACGTTTCCCAGAAGCCAAGTGACAAGTCTAAGCTTGCGGGAATAATTATAATAATCGATTTGCTTCTTCGAAAGATACATTTAACGACATCTTTGACTATCGATTCACATATATTTCAACTTCTAGAAGATAATCTAGGAGACTCAAATGTCGCGTGAGGAGAAGGTTATAACGATATCTTTTCCTGGGAATATGTACCGTGAGGGGAATTAATTAAACTGTTTCAAGCTGCCATTAAGCAAGGAGAACTGTTTTAGTAAGAGGCGAACGGGGCCTTATCATTTTGTCTTAAAATTTATAGTATAACGGCTAATTAAGTTCATTTGGTTTGAACATCGCGTCACGAATTTCAGTACGTATAAACGTCTGATGATATCGGCAAATGCGAGTAGAGGTTGATATAATAAATTTGAACTACATGTTTACCGTTTCTATCATACAAGTATGTGGATTTCCGAATCGACATATCCAATACCAAAATAGACAGCGCATTGTGTTTAAATTTTATATAGCTGGTGGTATTTTATTTTCCATAAAGTGAACCATTCTTGTGTATGTAGTGTGTACCTTGAAATAGAAAAAAGTTACAGATTACGATTTTCGTGTCTGTTTAATATGCTTCAATCATTTTAACTGCATGCACTATGAAGTGACACAGTCATGGCTTTTAAATTATAATATGCACTTTTAAACGTTAAGCTTGTATTTTTGCCACCCAATTAGTAAATATAACTTTTAACGGTTTAAAACGCGATATACAAAAATTAACCTATTTTTGTTTCGGCTGTTACAAAGCATTTTGTAACCAACACTAAAATAAGGTACTTAATATATCTTGCGTTTTAAAGTGTACTAATCGCGTAAACTAATAACAATACTCACTTTTTTTTCTACTATAAAACAGAATGCAACAAATCATTGGCACATGCATCTGTAATGTTTGAACAGAAATAAATCACTATAAAATGATAAAATAAAAACATATTTTTTCTTCGTTACGAGAATTGGACAGATAATAATCGTTTATAAAAAGTTACGCAGAAAAATTATCCAATGTTCCATAATTTCATAAGACAGAGAAAAAATGATTACGTATCGACGCCACTTTTCCTTAAGAGGAATCGAGATCGGATCCAGTTATTAAAATCGAATTACGCAGACATTTATAAGGTCTTAATATAAGTAACTCGCTTAATTACTATTTATGATATGCGCATATTCTCCGAAGAAAGAGATTGCTCTCTAAGTTACAGCCCGAGGGATCTTTCCACACTAGCATTGTAACAAATCACAGACATATTTTTATTGCTGCCGATAGCGACGTCTAGTTAGTTGTTTTATTGAATTTTTGCTATAATTCCTCAAGCCAAGCATGAAATAATGGTTGCAGCTTTTGCATCAAAATATCATTTAAAAGTGTATTCTATTTATATTATAATAATAACAAAAAAAAATAATAGAATCAAGTTGACTGAAAATGTTATATTGCACTGCGCAAGAGTTTGAAAAAATCGAATATATAACTTACGGGACTTTCTGAAACGTAAATGTTTTAAAAATGGAATACAACCTGCAGCTCCACTGGTATTGCACTAAAAGCAAAACAAAGATCGAAAACACGTTAAATTGTAGAAAATTGCGTTTCCTGCATTAGAACGTTCGCGAAATACTTTAATAAGTACCTTTATCCGATGAAGTGTAATTGAATAAATGAACACGATTTGTCCTAATGAATGTCTTTACATGAGAGTCGAGATTAACTTTACGAGACCGAGTGCTCGAGGGTCCCCCGGGAGCGCATATCAGAAATTCGTTACACTTATCTCGCCCGTATGGATTAGAATAACCGAGTTGTTCAGAATTTATAAATAACCTCCGTGCTTCTAGCGAAATAACTCATTCCTTATAAATCGTACGATTTGAATTGCGCCAGCTCATTAGCGATTCCAGCTGTGCGGCGTTCACCAGAAACTACACAACTTATTACTTTGGCTACAATTAAAGGCATTCGAAATATACACATACGCACTGTCTGTAGTTTACGCGAGTAGTACACATTTGAATAAAACACTTTAACGGTTTAAAACGCGATATATTGTAGTTAAACTTGTTTGAAAATTATTTTTACCTACGGCCCGACGTTTCGGATGCTTTGCAGTTCCCTGTCGCCACGGCTGCTTCCTGCAAGTGTTTTATTTATATGTATACATATTTACATGCGTGTGAGCTTAATGTATAAAGTTAATGTGCTCTTCTTTATACTATTAATGATAAAAAAA